GACCACGAGTACTATAGAATTTGTAAACATTTAAACACTTGACATTGGCTAAACGCACAAGCCGTGCGAAGCCATTTAGAAAAAAAAATATAAAATAAAAGTAGCATCAGCCCTATAAAAATACGACGGCGGCATAGATATGGTACCTAAATGATCTTATGCACTATTATCATCAGCCTAGTAATATCCCCACTGGTGGGGTGCAGTCCTCCCTTATGGATATAAGTAAAAGAGAGATTGGGCCACGACCCATAACGCAATTTGCTATGGTGAGTGCCTACAATTGTAGATACAACCGTTAATAAAGGCTTAGATTGTCTACTGAAGTAACTCGAGACAATAAATCCTTTGGTCATCCATCTTTTGACCAGCTATTACGAAAGTGGCATAATTTTCACGACCGTAGAACGTAAGCAGTAACCTTTGCTGCCTAGAGCTACTCTGATCCTTTTTTCGATTCTTAATTAGGTAATGAACACTTTATAGAAAAAAATAACCGCCGAAAAAATTTAATGTGCTATGCATGTCTGATAGATCTGTGTTCTCATTTACTACTTGGGTTTGGCATGGCACTGACTCCAAATATTAATTTGACTAAAGATAAAAGGGTTTATTATTTTCTGCTTTTCAGTTTATTCGGCAGTTTATTTTTTTGCTAAAAATATTTTATTTTTGTGGCTTTAATTTTTGTAATAAACAACACGACATGAAAGAATAAAAAGAATAAAAATCTGTAAGTGAACAATCACCCCCATTTCTCTACTCTTAGGATAGGATTTTTGTTTCCAAATGTATGTAGGACCAACTTTGAGGTATACTCCAATAAAAACCAGCCAAGTGCGTGTCAATTTAAGGTTTTACTCGATTTAAGCAAGCAATTACTTCATCTAAGTCACTTTTGATGTCTTCTTCTAAGAATCTTTTCTTAGTTATTTTTTTTAAGCATGTGACTGCTCGATGTTTAAATCTAAAGAAAATATTACTAGAAAATATCCCACGCGGACCAGGCAGCAGACGGGACTCGAACCAGCAGGTCGCTATCCGCGGCTTAGAATCATCTTTTCTTAGGTTAGAAATTTTCTAATACCTAAGCTGAACGACTATTACTCTTCAACTAAACTAATTAATCTATCTTAACCGTCATAATGTTCTTTGAGAGTAAGACTTTTTCAGATTTTTCAAGCCAATAGATTAGCTTTTAGAGATTTTTGTTCGAATAGGTCCATAACCCATTCGAACAAATAGTTGCACTTTAATCAAAAATTAGTCTTATGAACCACGAATTCGTTTTAAAGGACCTATTTATTCAACGATTACCAGCTCGATTGGGTAGAAGATGAAAAAAAACTTCACCCCCTCTTTATATGAAGATATCCTATAAAAAAGTGTTTTTCCCAAATTTATATGGGACCAACATCGGAGTTATATCCCTTCCAATAAAAAAAAAATATATAAAAATCAAACTTCTCTGTAAAAAGTTATTCGTGATCATACATTAAAAAAATACGCGTCGACTTGATAACCTTCTCCGTTTTTTTTGTTGCTTGAAAATATTGCAACTGCGAGTACTTTCGCTAGAGTAGTTTCGCTAGTAGGGTCTCCACTTATCGATATCCTAGGTCCACACCTACGATATCGATAAGTGGAGATACTACTGTCTTTTATTTTAATATACCCCTAAAGCTACCAGGGTATCCAAGAGATTTAGGGAATCACGTCAGGATTAGGCCCAATATGTATTGAAATTAATCAAATTATGAGAAGAAATTCATTCTTTTTGTCAGTATGTAGTTACAGAAAAGGAAACCTGATAGGGTTAGGGAACAATTCAATATACGTCAGCTATAATTAGGAGAGAGTCCAGTATTTTACGTAAATCTTATTTTGAGTCGCACCCCACGTAATGTGTATAATATACTTTTTTAAAAGGCTTAATACCTGAAACTTTAGTAACGAAATAATCAACTGCGAAAAAATAATTTTGAAGGGAATATCATCAATGCATTAAACACATATTATTAATTATCAAGAAGCTAAGTTGGTTTAAGATATAAAGAAAAAAAAAAATATAATATCGAAGAAAAAGAAGCAATTAAAGTATATTATAATATAATTTCCTGCTTGAATACGTTCAGTTTGATAGCTTCATCCAATAAGTTAATACAAGTAAAAATTGATTTATTAAATCCAACTTTGTTATGTAAATACCTGCCGGTTAAAATTAAACCAGTAGGAAAGTTTGAAGCGCGGCAACATTGTTACGTGTTTTAAATGGAATTGCAATTGTTAATCATTTTGACACCTCAGAACTCCGCCTAGAAATATACTATTACAGATACGGACCAATCAATATAATATTTGCAGCCTCGCTTACTTTCGTGGAAATCGCAGTTCCGAAACAAACTTTTACTTTATGGAACGTTTAGCTGCATAGCGGCTTATGTATCTACTGTTATACTACAAAACCGCTTCGTCATGGAACATTTCTCTTCTGCAAATCATCCTGTCTCTGAGAAACTTAAGCCACTTTTCACTCTTATGACTAAAGTGTACTCAGCGACGAATAGGTAGGACTTTAATGTAACATTTGTATTTTCGCCTTGGCGCCAATAAACAACATACGCAACGATATATGAACGCACGCAGCGACAAATACGCAAACTCGTGAAATAAAAAGAAAGAACCAAGCGAAAAACGAATACATAACTTTGTTTGGAAAAGTAGATATAACTTCACTTCACCCCTGTTACCGAAAAAATGTATATCGTAAGAAATGCTACAAACCATAAGAAGCTTTTTACCTCTTAAAAGATTACAATTCATGAGATTGAAAGAAAAATTGTCTGTCAACTCTGCGCGTCGGTCGTAGCCTGGGTATTACGAAAATCAAGAATGGAAAAAACTCAAAGGATGACAATTAACTTTAAGAAAAGAAAGTTTTTAGCAATTTCATGATTAATACACCACCCGAATGGAGAAAGTAAACCATATATTTATACACTCTTACAGCGAGAAAATAAAAGCCCTCATTAGCAAAAAAGGAAATTGCAGTTTCCCAAGGAGGAAACTAGAATAAGGTCAAAACGTTATCTGCCTTCTAAGGGCTTTTTACCTCCTGCTTACTTATTGTTAATGATACAATAGCAAACGTTCTAGGTATTGTGGTTTAGATTGCGATTCATTAATCACACTGAATTACAATGACAGTGTTGCGCTATTCTGTGATTAAATCCCACAATATGTGTTAACCCACTGACTATGTAATTATAATGTGAAAAAAAAATCACTTTTGAAGTAAAATTTCAGATAAACGCAAATACTGCGTTCGAGTAATTACTTTCCCCAACTTCTTTTTCATAGGATGCTGACATAATGGCGGATTAATTATTTTATTTAATTGAAACTGTTCCATAGCTCCATTATCCAACCCATTTGACTAGGATTTGATTTTTCTATTATAGTTTCAGATTTATAATTAATTTATATTCTATTTCCCTGTTTTTTAGTGCCTATTTAATTTGAACACACAAACGAACAACAAACGTTTGAAATCACAAAAACGTAAATTCTTAGCTGTAAGTTGGTATTGGCATTGACGAGCATGAATAAATGTTATTCATAATAATTTAGCCAAGGGAAGCCCTTTACGTGTGAATGAAAGCCCCCATCCCGCGGGAATTTCATCCACGCTCACGACATCCTTTTGTATAGGACCGAACCCACATTTTAATATATATTTTTAATTACAGATACGATCCTAGCATCGATTGGTAAAAACTGGCTGTAAATTTGCTAAGAACTTTATTAAAATTTTGAGATTTCATTCAATCTTCGATTAAGCTCACAAACTTTTCATGTTTTTTTTTGTAAATTCAAAGTAATGGTACCTACCTATATTTGACGAATTTATTATATTCGTTTCTTAAGTTTCCACGCACACCACTCATTAAATTAAACACGCTTGCTAAATAGAACGTCAAAAAAGTAATAAAAAGACGCATTTTGAACCCGTTTAAGCGTGTTTCATTGAAGGTAAAGGATTTATTATTTCATAAATGTAACATTGGATTACAATGTAATCTCTTTTACGTCACAATACATACGTAATTGGATACTTATCCTATCCTAATAATATTATAAACGTGTAAGTTTCTATGTTTGCAACCCAATCACGCGAAAACTACAATACGGATTGTGATGAAATTTTGTATGCTTATGACCTGGATTGAGACATAGAATACTTTTTATCTGAAAAAATGTTGGGTTCCTGTGAGATTCTCAAAAAAACTAAAGTTAACGCGGATGAAGTCGCGGTCGGCCGCTAGTGTTTAAATAAAAACGAGACGTGGTACACAACTTTAATGATAGAAATAAACTTGTAGTGTCATCGGTTAGACTCCAAATGATACTTGAATGTATAAACGACCACGTATGTAACAATAAGATTAATTGATTTCTACTAAACGAACTTACTTCCCACATTTGACTAAATGTCTGGTTAAAACTTTGGTGCACCTTATTTAAGGAACGTTGACTTTCTCAATGACCAGTATTCACTGTTAATCAGTAAAACATTATTCACAAAACAAAATGTCTTTTCGCCGTTCTAGTCAAGGTTTAACCATCATTTTATTAATTCAATAGTGATCTATCGTGAACTGAATAAGAAAGTATAGCCAAGATAGTCGACATAAAGTTATCAAGAAAGTTTTTATATGATTATAGGACGGTCGAAGGTTGGTCGCAATCGTCTCAGAAAGGGGATGATAACCTTCACTAGGAAACGAGTTCTCGCATAATGTAGACAGCCTTTGCTTACAGTAAGGAACAGAATAAATTTCAACATAATTGGCATTTTATGTATGGAAAAGATCTAAATGGGTAGTTTATAATTAAGTTTGATAAAGTACGATCAAATATTATGAAATAATATGAGACAAATTTTCAAAAATAAAATTACTTCCAATAGTATCTTTAGACGTAAATAAAGTATGGCTTACCTTCCTCAGAAAAGCCTCATTGCAAGTTTGTGCAGTTCCTTTCCAATGGTAGTGTCGAAACCTCACGTTGCCTAGTAATTTAGCGCCTTGCAAAATTGATACTTCATATACTATCCGTCTTATATTCAGTACGTCTGTACGCTTCTTGTATTTGTTCAGTTTACGCCGGCGAACGATGCGTTCATCGGGCTCTGAATATTCTCCTGTACTCGTGAGACCCTCTTCAGCAGCCCAGGCACTCAAAACGCTTTCTATGAAACTGAATAATTGTTGTACGTTCGGCTCTAATTTGCTAGGTATATAGAGATAAGGCGAAATGGTTTTCTTTGGTACAATTGCTTTCTCACTCGGTTCATCTTCAGGAGGCGGGGCCACATCGTGATATGGGCAGTTGTGAATTTTGTGATGGTGGTGGTGGTGGTGATGATGCTTAGTTTTACGTTTCGGCTCCTTGGCTCCGGAACTGCCGCCGCCCTCCCCTCTATCCGCAGTTTCGCCGCCACTCGAATGTGAATCACCACTACGTTCTCTGCGCGGTTTGGGTTTCCCGTTCGAAGTCAACGCGACAAGAGCTCCGGCGGCGAGACAGCAATGGTGGGCCACGCAACAGAAGCGCGCATCTCCCTTGCGTAGCCCAGTATGGGATTTGTGACAAAAGGAGACATCGGGTATCCGCGCACCGAGAGCCGCCAGATGTGCCCGGTCGGCGCAGACCTGCATGAGGAGGTTCTCGCCGAAGTGCACAGTCTTGTGGCGGCGTCGGCGCAGGTGCATGACGGTGCCACTGCCGGCAAGCGAAGGGGGTGCGGAGGCGGAGGCGGGCTTGGCGCGGGGCTCGGGCGCGCGCGCACATCGGGGCGGCGGCGCGCGGTGCGTCTCCACCATCATTGGCGAGGAGCGGCGTCAGCGGCCGGCGCGCGTGCGTCACCTCATCACGTGTCTCCGAAGCTCCTTTTCCAACCACCCACTAGATACTTTCAAAACTTTCCTCTTTCTATCACATCTGGATTTGTTTAATTTTAAAGTTCGTAATTAATTAAGTCATGTTGTTATTACTTTAATATCACACGGGTGTATATTACTTATTTATGAACTTTGTTTTCTATTATATTAAAAATTTCGAATGAACACTTTAAATGGTTATTCTTCAATCACATATCTTATTACGTTTTCGTCTTCATATATTGCAATCCTACGTAAACATTTGTTATTCTGATCAACGTTTATTTCATTACGTTTGCTTATGTTATTAAGACAACTTTGATTTATACTTTATTGAAATTATTTTTATACTAACAAGAATATGTAGGTATGTATGCCATCGTAAAAAAAAGTATAAATCCATAAAAATCAAGTGTTTGCAATTAATGTTCTAGGTTATCAAATACATTTTTTTATTACTAAACAACTATTCATAATAGGTGTCAATTGAAGATATTTTTATGTAATGGAAACCCCGGAATCCACTGTATTGAAAGGGTATTATAATAGTAAAATTAATGATTGTTTGCTTAGTTTGTATTTATTTTGCCCTCAAAATTGCTTTTGATTGAAATTAAATTTATTTTTTACCAAGAATTTTAAATGCAATTTGAAATTGAATGTATCTTACTTTTAACAAATTTAACTCAAAAACCGATTTTTAATCTATTTTACTATTTTATGTGTACAAGGCGAAAGAAATACGTTTATAAGAGTTTGATGAAATCAGTACGATCTGCATTTGAAGTGGCTTATTCCCCGGGGAGGCGATAACAAGCTGTCGGGGTGGAAAAATAATTGTTAGCAGTACCTTCGCAAACGAATAAAATGCAGTGGCACTAATTTTTAAAAAATAATTGTCTGTTTCTCAGTCCGAAGCTGTCTTTTGTAAGTGATGTTAAATCGTTTAGATTAAAAATGACAGTTAAAATTAAATCACAAACTATTGTAAAAACAGCATACTTAAAACCTAAATGTAAAAATCATAAGTTTATCAGACCTTGCCCTTTTTTATTAGTATTAGTTTGCGTCAATAAAGGAAAAATATGAGATCTCCATCAAAGAAATTACTAAATCAAAAGCAACTCGCTTATTAGTGACCAAAAATAATGTGTCCCTATAATGCTATTTATAGGAGGATACGGAAATAGTTACGTTGAACATAATATTACTGGAGACCCTTAGATGTGTATACGGCAACATCGTATTACGAAATTCAGACTTAATATGAGTTATAGGACGGACGTGTATGGAAGAATGTGTTTTTCTGGAGTATAGTTGCGTTTTAATTACGCTAATAGCTGTTGTAAAGTTACCCATGTGAAGTAGGGCATGAAGTGTTGCACCAAAGAGACAGCATTTGGACCGTTGTCCCATACAGTGGATCCGAAAAATATCATACAGAGTTGGCTAACATTTTTACAGCAATTGAGAGTAAATACCTCTAAAATAAGTTTCTGTTGTTATATTAAGACAATCTACAGTATAGCAATTTATTAATTGTTATACTAATAAGTTTTATGTTTAATCATAAAGCAGATAAAAGGGAAAGTTTAATGATAAACACCTAATTTGATCCAACTCTCGCTACCAATAATTATATAACCCACTTACCAATGTTGAGAAAGAATTTAATCCGCATTTTGTATATAAATTGCTAATTTACAAGCTCGGCCGTGACGTGCGTCACTGTTCGATTTGCCATCTTGATCTGATCTGAACAATTTCACTTGGAGCAAAAGCAGACGCCGTCAACTTAATGGATTTTAATTTCCCTCTGGATCTGACAAATTGTCCCGCTAAATCTCTGCAGATTGCTATTTTTATCAGTATTGAGTGAATTGTTTGGTCTTTAACAAATAAAACCGTCTTCCAAACATTTCATATAATACAGTGTTATTTATGTGTATTATTAATTTTGCAACATTTTTATTAAGGTTTTCATTATTTTGATTTGATTGTACACCGTGAATTTCGAGTTATCTGAGACACTTAAACATCGAATAAATAGAAATAGTGAGAAAAGTTATAGAAAGTAAACGTACTACATCCCCATACAAAAAATATTATCCGTTCCAATATTTCTAGTTCCTAAAACAAGTTTTATTTGAATCAATTTAAGACAACTAAAATTGTTAGGGTTTTATAATTGCACAGTAACTGAACGCGCAGACACTATTCGAAGAAATTAATGAAAGAAAACCTATATTTTGTGAAAATAAAATCGATGTCGGAATTCGCTTGTAAATTTTCTCAGGGCACACAGTTACCTGAGAAACTTTACCAGTCAATTCAGACAATAGACGAATAGAGACGTATAGAACCACAAAATAAATGATAATCAGTAGGACGTAGCCACTTGGTGGCACTATGGATACCTTCGTACTGAACCCATCAATAAATAAGTGGTGCCATCAAGACTGTGGTTAAATATAACTGGTTATGATCCTATCGGTGGATGAAACCGGCAACAGAGGGACACGCTGCTGAAATTGTTCTGATTTTATGATGATATTTTTATACAATATCTTAAATATCAACGTTTGTAGTCAATATATTTATATCTACCGGAATAAGTTCATTTTACTATGATTTCTTATTTAGTTTACCAATCATCTACAAATCTTTATTTTATAAACTCTTCGGGCCAATAAAAAGTTAACTAACCATGTATTTTTAAGCAATGGACTATTTATGTGACAATAAATCGTTCAAATATCTCTTTTCGGAATTAGTTTTATTTAAATACAGGTGTTGTGTCCTATCAAGCTTACCCTTATGGAAAGTAGTGATTTTACTACGAAAATGTGACCGAATGAAAAAAAATACTAAAGGAGGTTACACAATTGTTGTATGCAAACGCATCCTACACTGAATAAGTTGTCTAAGCAATTTATGGATTTAGAATGAGTCACCGCAGACGTCCAGGCAGTTTTCAGCCAGCGTCCTGCATTGCGCCAAATTCCCATTGCTATGAATCTATTTGTTCTTTTAATTACTACGTCAATAGTTCATGTTACGTAGGGCTTTCATTTTATAATACAAAACTATTCAACACATTATCAAATGAATATTCTTTCTATTTATAGTTATAACAGTTCTTAACCTATACTTTAAGCGTAAACAATAATGATTGTCTTAAAAACATAAGCATAGTAATGTTCGTTGATAACAGTTCACAGCAATAAATTGTATTACAAGCCAATTATGCATACAAACACCGTAATGTACGTAATATTTTATTTCAATTGTATTTTCCAAACGAAATGATAAACCTGTTTCGCCGTCGTATTGCCGCGAGGATAGGCGTACACATCACTTCTGCACATAGAACGCTGATAGTTTTAATTCGATACGACACCGCTTGCTTGCGTATGGTGTTCCTGTGATGCGGAGCGCAAGCGGCGGTTAATTTGTTTATGTTAATAGGTAGATAAGTTTTTTTGAGTTACATAACCGAGCACTGGGCGCACTGTAAACCGCTCCAACGCCCCGGCGGCCTCGCTGCGACTGCCAGCGGCCAGCACGCGTCGTCGGAGGGTGGTCGCGATCGTCGAACTTCGTTATGGTTCGGAGTGAAACGATCGTAAGTCCTCGGGCGCTTTCGGAGCACGCGCGCTTGCGGGCGGGCGGCGCCCGTGTGCGCCGCTTCACCCACCTACTAATATATCAAGCCAGCGCTTAATTTATTGTTGAAAAATTAAGGAACGATCCACTCGATATATTTTTCTAAATAACTGCGAGGTTGTAATACATTTTTTTTTTTTTTTTAGCGAGGTAGGCAAATGACTTTACTCCCACCTGATGTTAAGGGGTGATAGAGTCCAAACGCGAAGATAGCTGGTACAGCAGTTATAAACTGCTACACCAACCATCCTCACCTTGCCGACCTGCAAAAATGCTTCTTCACGCCTCTCTTAAAGGGCCCAGATTATAGGAAGGAATTATATACAGGTAGGTATTAATAACATTAAATCTAAGTATAATGCGACCATTAGTTACCGAAATATATGCGTCATTGTGAATTTTCATCAAATTGCATTGAATACTCAATTACTGATTTTATATTAACAATCAAGTTTCATGTAATATTTGATGAATTCAATAAGTTAACACAGAAATTAATAGTCAGTAGGTATATTCCTTTTTATCTAAATACTTGTTAAAAATAACTAATAATGGTGTGAATAACTTAAAATGTCCTGTTTTTTTATTAAATGTGCTTTACAAAGAGTGACTGACATATTGAAAAGATTTACGTAACTATTATTGAGTTTGCGAGCATTAATTAGAGTACAAAGATAGAGTGATGTTATCGTGCACCGCTCAAGGCCCGTTGTAGGTTTTGCTCCACATAAAAGAAAAAGTTTCTATTACCAGAATCTTAATTGAATTATAAATAAGTGAATGCACCTCGCGAGGCTTTCGATATCCAGGGCATGGCATCAAATTACAATTAATCAATATCATGTTTTTCGTCTACGATATAGATATTATTTCTTATATTGATAAATATTACATCGGGGCGGCAGTCATAATCGTTCATCATTTTTAATCGCGTTCTCCCCCGAAAAAATATGTAAATATGTTACTACCTCGAGGCAAAAACATTTTTTATGTTTTGATAATAGATAGTGAAATGTGCAATGAAGCGGGTAATGTGTCTGGGAAGGGAGACTTATATAGGTATTATCGAAGTGTATATAAACGCCGAAAGTCCCAGTTGGAATATTCGACCAATATTCCAACTGGGACTTTGGTTATGGTGCAATTACACTTGGTCTTTAGCCCAAATACGAGTGCCAATGGAATTAGGGTAAACGACTCAGCGTATGAACGGTGTTGAGTACGCCCACATTTGAGTAGTTTTTGTTTTGGTTACCCGACACCGTCTTCCAGCCCGTATTCCAATTTAATATTTACACTTGGTCGTGTGTAAATCAACGGAGTCGAGTACGCCCGTATTCGGGTAGATTTCCTTTTGTTTGCCCGACACCGTCTTCCAGCCCGTATTCCAGTTTAAATATTGCTTCATCATCAGCCTATTAATGTCCCCACTGCTGGAGCACAGGCCTTCCCTATGGTTGGAATAGGGAGTTTTGGCCATGATCCACCAGTGAGGATGGGTGGGTGCTTACGACTGTAGATGCAGCCAACCAATGGCTTAACGTGCCTTCCGAAGCACGAAGGAGCTCGAGATAGTATATTTTTGGTCACCCATCCAATGACCGACCACTGCGAAAGTTGCTTAACTTAAACGATCGCAGCGGAAAGCGCTAACCACCTGCGCCATCGAGCTCTTCAAAATATTGGTTCAGGTGCCCGAATTCGAGTAATGTCCTTCGTGCATCCGAATACGGGCTAATAACCAAATGTAATTGTGGCATAAATATTTCTTCGGGTGCCCGAATTCGAGTAATGTCTTTAGTGTACCCGAATACGGGCTAACAACCAGATGAAATTGCGCCATTATATAGGTATTATAATCGGAGTGTACATAAACGCCAAAGTCCCAGTAGGAATATTCGACTAGACAGTTAGTTCTTTGTTTTCTTTAAGTTTTCACGTGGATTTATGTTATTGAAGTCAACATCTATTGCCTGGTGATATTTCTGATAAAAAGGAAAGAAACGTATTGGCTGAGTAGAAAATTACATTAAAACATTTTAGTAAACGTCCATATTTTCTTCGATAGAGTTACAATATTTTTTTAACGTGTTTATTCAATTATGTTTGTGTAGTTTCTCAATATCCGTTCTAAGTAATGGTACATTGAAAAAAATCTAACCTCTCATTAACACCAAGGTTTATACATGCATTTAACAAGTTGTACAATACCTACTTTAATCAAATTTGTTAGACAAAATATGTGAAGTATATAAAGTGATTAATACTTGTAAAGATAGTTGTCTATGCAGTATAAACAAAAGAATACTTTAAACAGTCACAACAAGTATTCTACAAGTTTTGTGTAAAACTAGTATATGACTTGTTTCTTGATGTAAACGAGTGATAACAGTATTAATATTGCCCAGTGGCAGTAATTATTTAAAAATAAGTATATTCGCTAACTTGTACACAATGACAATTATTATGAAATCATAAATAAGGATATTTATGCTGGGTTCTCGAGCATCGAAAACAAACATAGTGATCAACCGGCACAAAGAAAACCTTTTTGATTATTTGTAAATTGTCCTTCTTGTACAAACAGTAAAAATAATAAGATGAAAACGTGAAAACTGATAAGTTATAAAAAAAATATATAAGAAAGTGATGGTTGACAAAAACTATCATTATTAATTTTTATCTATACCAAAACTACTATGCTGTCATAGCATATGACGTAAAATCAAAACCACCATTGTTATAACAATATTTTAACGAAAATCTACCATGGCTAAAAACTTTAAACACACCACCACCACCGTCAGTGGTCGCCTATCCAGCTACGCACCTGGCTGCCTATCCGCTCCCTTTTTTTTATCCGCCGTACTGAACGAAAAGGAACTTCCTTCCAAAACTTAGGAATATCTACCAGTCGGATTATATGCAACGGTTATCTACGAAGTAATATGCGTACATAATTTAAGTTATTTTTAATTTCGCAGACTCCTAACATTTGTTTCAAGATACGAGTAAAATGGTATCTTATATCTCAGGTAAAATGAGTACAAAATTAGATTCAAATTTTTGAGTGATTGAAATAATAAGTTATAATTTTGACATGAAGCTGAGTACGTAATAATTGCGTTATGATTTTCTTTTGCTTCGTACGAGAGTGAGACATGGTAAATTACAGGTAATCTAATGATAAAATGATATAAGTTATATCATAAAGTCGCTTAAAATAATTAGTCATCACAATAAAGGTAATTCAAGTTCTAAATATGTCTTAATTATTATCGCGTCTATATATAAATAATGTAAATCACCGTTACGAGAATCGTTTTAGTTATCTAATCTTTCTTTCCAGAAACTTCTGACCTATTTTCGGGAATCCTCCATCCTTTATCTTTATATATTTTTAGTGAGGTATTTTATTTGAAATCTGTTTAAGAACATAACAAAGTACTGCTACTACTTCGAAATCACTTTATTCGATTATTTGTAATATTTTTCAATAACTTCAATTTCTATCTTATATGTATTTTTAAGGGTGCCGTATCGATAGTATGGCAAATAAAAAAAACCTTAAAGCCTATTTTAATACCAAAAATGACATTACCTGTGCTGCCAGTTTATTTCAGATCTTAAATAGTGATGTACAACTATTGGAAATTAACGCTCATAAAATATTTAGTATCGTTTTTTTATTTAAAGGAGTTTAAGTAAGCATTATCGGAACCGGATTCCTAGTTATGAGTCTAAACAGTTCCAAAGTGAACTGTGATGTCTGCTTGTATGTCGTTTCTTTGATATAAAATCAAAAAATAAAAAGGGTGCGGGTTCGAGTCCCGTCTGCTGCCTGGTCCGCGTGGAATTTTTTCTAGTTATATTTTCTTTAGATTTAAACATCAAGCAGTTACATGCTTTAAAATAATAAAAATTATAACTATAATTGCTATTTCTTCTTTCAAATGTTTAATACTTGTAAAAGTATTCATTTGACATTGTGGGTTTACCTATAATGCGAAGAGATGGCGCTGCCTTGCAGCTTAAGAATAGTTAGAAAGAATTTCGACGCGGTCCGTGAGGGCCGCGGTAGCATAATTGGTCAGTGCATTCGCCCGGATTGCGAAGGGTGCGGGTTCGAGTCCCGTCTGCTGCCTGGTCCGCGTGGAATTTTTTCTAGTTATATTTTCTTTAGATTTAAACATCAAGCAGTTACATGCTTTAAAATAATAAAAATTATAAATAAAAACGTACTTGAAAATGCCTTATTTCCATTTAAAAGTAAAAAAGGACATTTAAACATGAAATAGATTTTAATTATTAATTGGTATAAGTATATGTTTTAATCTGGACCCCGCCCGACTTCCAGATCACACTAGAACCCTCCTGATTTCGTGATTTCGTGTGAATCGGATATTATTTATTAGTTTTTAGTTCAATTTTCAATTTTGAAGTCAGATTTAATTTTTTGTTAAAAAAAATCATTTCATCCATTTTAGTGTAGAGCGATTACAGGTACATAAAAATCCCTAAAATAGCCGTATACAAAGTATCATCAAAATAACATTGTCCAAGTCCAACAGAAATGTACATAAAATGAAAAATACTTTCACGGGACAAAATGACAACTATTTTACATTGGACAAAAAGGAATTACGAAAATTACAGAAATCATGTGTACATACATAAAAAAACATGCCGCCAAATTCAGCACCTTTTCGAAGTCAGTTGCACGTGAGAAATAATAGCTTTTGTACGGTAGCAAATGCTAAATGAACAGAGTACCTACAGGTAAAGATATAATATTAAGTTACTTATATAAATATATTTTCTATTTCTTTTTTAAGAAATCAAGATTACAAGATTATTTACACACAGGCCCTCTTATTAATAAACAAAGAACAAGCTTGGATTAGTTACTCTATGTTTTGTCTCTGTTCATTGAATGACAAATGGCACTTGAGTGATATGAACAACACAAGGCGTAACTAGTTTAAGCTTGTTCCT